CCCTTCACGTCGGGATGGAAGATCTGCAGCGGCAGATGGATTGGTCTCGCGATAGGCGAAGGGCCCCTTGCCGCGCAGGCCGTGGGCACCGGCCATCTCGCCATGATCGGCGGTGAAGACGATGATGGTGTTGTCGGCGAGACCCAGCGCATCGAGCTCGGCGAACAGCGCCTCCATCGAGCGGTCAACGTTGCGGATGCAGTTGATGTAGTAATCGTTGAAGCGCTTCCAGCGGACATCCTCGAGCGGCACGTTTGCCCAGGATGTAATCCCAGACGCGGTCGAACTCGCGATGCGCCTGCGGCCGGCCCGGCGCGTCGAACGGCTGGCGCAGGGTCGCCGGCACCGGCACGTCCCAGCTCGTCTTGTAGAGCGCGTGCTCGGGTGCGCGCGCCGCATGCATGCGCAGCTTGCCGCTGTCCTGCACGCTTTCGCCCGGCGCATCGGTGTTGAAATACATGACGTCGTGGGGATTGACGAAACTCACCGTCATGCACCACGGCTTGCCCTCGTCCGACAGTGGCCGTCCGGCGGTGCGCAGCCAGTTGATGGCGCTGCCGGCGGTCAGATGGTCGAAGCCGTAGCCGCCCAGCGTGTGGCCGATCAGGTCACCCGGCGAGAAATTGTCGGCGAAGCCGTATTTCTCCATCTCGGCGGTCATGAACGAGCCGATCTCGCGCGTGTCGGTGGCCTTGCTGAGGTGCCACTTGCCCTTGTAGGCCGTGTAGTATCCGGCCTTGCGCAGCATGTGCCCGAGGGTCGGCGTTGACAGCGGCAGGTCGCGCATCCACGGCACATCGAGATTCTCGAACATGCCGTTGTCCGGAGTCTGCAGCCCGGACATCATGACCGAGCGCGACGAGGTGCACATCGTCGCCGGGCATTGATGGTTCGTGAACGTCACGCCCTGCTTCTGCAGGCGCTCATGCCCGGGCAGGGAAAGGCCGCGGGGCCATTGCGCGTGGTAGCGCTCCTGGTCCGTGAAGACGAACAGGATGTTCGGCCGGGCATTCCGGTTGCTCACGGGAACGATGCCCGGCACGGCCGGTTGTCCCTGAGCCTGTGCGACACCGGCGAAGACGGGCCCGAGAAGCGAAGCAGCAGCGGCGCCGGAAGCGGCGGCAAGGAATGCCCGTCGGGCCGGGTCCGGTTTCTGTTCCTTGTGAAATGTCATGGTTACGCCTGATAATGAAG